CTCTGCCGGCTGGTTGCGCGTTAGTCGCAGGTAAGACCGGCGCTGGCTCCTGCCCAGGACTGTGAGGCTGGGCAGCTGGCGGGGTTCGGGCTTCGAGTTAGAGAATAACCCGAAAAGTTAGGCCATTGACATGTTGCCTACATTTTATTTTATTTTCCCCCCCAGGATATTAAAAAGTGACACTGGTGAACCCCAAACAAGTACCTCTCCATTTCACCGAACCTGCCCCGATTTCATCTAGGACCTAGATTCTAGGTCCTTGGTACCAAGAGAACAGACATGTCCCTTCGTATGAAAGTTTATAACAAGGAAGATTGTCCACTGTATCAGGTGTTCTCCACCTTGATTGGTTGAGATTTTAGAAAGTGCTGTGGTCAAGCCTCGGTCCGCCCTAGGCAACAGAATGAAATACTCCGCAAGATCAGTGCCTGGACCTTGGTCATGATGATTTAAATATCTGGGTGGTTCTTAATGGATGTGCAATCAGGGTTTTGAGACCCGTGACAAACTGGACCAATGTGAGCCAGATGCAACCCACCTTTTTAGGATCCATCAGCAGGATTCACCAAGTTAGCCTGAAAACACAAAAGGCCAAGGACTGCCTGAGAGGCTCAAGTACAGCCAAGAAATAGGGGAAAAAGCAGGAAAAAAAAACCCCAGACCATTTTTCAAATGTTTTCATTTCCTTAAAACTCTCCTACATGGAAATCACACCTGTAGCAAGGATTACTGTCAAAGCCCGCTCATTGGGCCAGACATCCTCCTGTTGTTAGCAGAAAACTGCCCCCCCCCCCAGGACACCACCTCCACCTGTGAGTCAGCCCATCGGCCACCTGCCTACATTTTAGCCCACATTGTAGCTGAGAGAGACAGGCGTGCAATCAGAACCAGAATTTAACTTCAAGTTCATCGTGAATTATTGGATAGATGTTGGAGCATCCATAGCTTATTACGTGGGACACTTTTCTCCCCCTTAAAATTTCATTTGGACTGTGTGTGAAAGGGTTCTTGCAAGCGATTTGAATGAGATTGAGGGCTTTAATGAAATGTCAGACTGCTCGGATTGTTTGGTTTGTATCAAAGTAAAAGAACAGTCAAAGGAAAGAATGGTACCTTAGTGGTACCCTGGGCTGCATTTAGCTGGGTTTGGCATATTACTTAGGTTTCTGAGCTGCTGGCTGTTGTCTGAAATAAAACGTACTGAATAAATTCTGTGGGTTAAATGGTAACACGGAAAGAGAACGGAGAAAGACCACTTTCTCCCTTTCCTACTGATCTAGGCAGCTATTTCACCCCACTTCTTTTTATAACTGATTTATTTTTTTTATTACTTTCCATCCCCTATAACTGATAATTTTTAATTTACAGCCCAGTTGTTGCTGATCCCTGGAAGGATACATCTACATTTTTGTTTCAAGGAAATTTGGAGACACAAAATGGAACAGAGCAACAACAAAGAGGTAACTGCTGCCCTCCCTAACCTGCTTGTATGACTCTCAAGAGTTATTCTGGCAACTTTAGGTATATTGCGTTAATAAAATATTACGATTCCGCTTTAAAAACGTTTTTAAAAAATAGGCTACAAGAATGTTGCATGTTTGGCTTGTATTTTATTTCTCTTGGACAGAAGTGCCTTTTGGACTGCATTCCTTTATAATGCTGGTAGTATTTAGGAGCAGGCGTAGCTGTTAAGGCTTAATCATAATTCCTTTTTCCTAACGGGTCCTGTTAAACGTTCTGGCACCATTATTAGGACTATTGCAGCAAGCGCATTGCAGTTAGGGGAGAGACTGGGCTCAACTCCATATACAACAAAGACTAATGGATTTATAGCCTCTGAGCAGAGTGAGAGGCAGGGGTCAGTGGATGGAAAAGAGAGGAGACATCAAGAGTTTGGGATTCTTGCTAAATGATTTACAGATTTAAGATTCTGGCTGAGGGCAGGCCACGGTGATCAGATATCCAGGATGGGAAATGAAGAACTTAATCAGAGACTGAGTTTGATCACATAATAAGGGTAGAGGATGCTTAGGAATCTTGCTAACACTGGGCTCGACAGGGTCTAGGTCCGGGTCCGGGCCTAGTCAGAAGAGGAGCCTGACTTCAGGTTGGTCAACAAGAGACTGTCAATCATGAACAGTTTCCAGCCTCCTGCCTGCCTGGACTCCAGGCGTTGGAAGTTCACGAAAGATCCCTTGTGGCCAGGAGGCTTATAACTGTTTTATCAAATGCATTCATAAGCAATTTTCCATTCAGCTGACTCTGAGCAATAGAAAGCATAAAGCCAGGTTCTTAATAAGGGAGGAGACTTAGATGGACTGTGGAGGAAATGCAAGGCCACCTAATGGCTGTAGTGAAAACAGAGATGGTTGACGGGCCATTCGGTTCTGCCAATTAATTGGCGGAAATAAAGCTGCTTTTTTCTTACCGAATCCCCGAAGTCATGTGTGACTTAAAACACTTTTTGTTTGTAAACTTTCAGGGCCACGGTGTGGCGGGTGGTCATTCTGATCTTCCCGTCAAGAAGGCGATTAATTTTTCCCCTCCGCTATACAGACAGCGTTACAGCTTCGTTAACGACCTGGTCAATCAGCACAAACCCAAGAAGGTAGGTCTTGGTTTCCAAACATTTCATTAAAACTCTCTTATAAAATGTTTTGTTAAATGCAGAAGCCTTGGTTAGTAAGTAACTAGAGACTGTTCGGAAATACTCTCACAAGGAGGGAAAGGGTTAGAGAGGGAAAACTAAGCTTGGAGGACCTGGGTGAGCGAAGTGGAATGAACGAGCGCTTGGTTAACATGTGAGGTTAAACAGGACTTATTTCCCCCACCCCCCAGGCTTATCATGTCTCGAGATTAATTTCCTCTCATGTACTTCTTTTCTGCCAAAGAGATCCTTCCATACGATGTTTTATTATGGTTTCACTTCGGCTGCCCACTCCCTGTAAAGAAGGTCTTGGGTCATACTTGACTTCTCTGGCTATAAACATCTTTGAAATGACACTGGTCTCATCTACAGGTGGCAGACTTGGGGTGTGGCAATGCTTCCCTCATACAGATGATTAAATCGCACAGTTGCCTGGAACTGATTGTTGGAGTAGATATCAATAAAGATAAAATAGGATCGCAAAGGTAATGCCTAGTTTCTGGAGGAGTGGTGCATCGATCTAAAACCAGTGGCACTATTACATATGCTTAGAGGAAGGGTCAATTTTATGCAAGATTTACACTATGTTAAATGTTAAAATGCGTTGTACATTATACACCAAGAGAGCCTCAGGCTCTCTGAATAATGACTATGCCCTCATGCTAATTAGCTGTATACGCTGTGAATACCTGTTTCCTACCAATGTAGAAAGTAGAGTCTCAATTAAGTAATTATCATCGTCAGCGCATTGCAGATTCAGTTTCAAAGGGCAAGAATCTAATTAGGTTGATGCTGGACGCCATGGTAACGGCAGAGCCCCAGGCAGCCATCTCTAGTTTGAAGCAGAGCAGCTCTCCAATATCCTGTATATATTGGATTTCCAGGGATTGTTTCAAAAGGGTGTTTCTTTTAAAGGTCAAGAAGCTGAAAATCACTGATCCAAAGTCAGCTGGGAGACCAAAAATATTAAAAATGAGAGCAATGTCAAATATTCAGAACCTTGTTCTGATTGGCCAGTTACTCCCTCCATGAAAGGAAGTTACTCTCATGTCTGTAGTTGTGATAACTCTAAACAGTTCTGCTCAAATGCGCTGACTTCTACAATCACGCTTTTGCAGGTGTAGATTGTCTCCATTCTCGGGGGAGTATCTAAGCCCCCGGGACCTGAATCTGTCGATCATCTTGTACCATGGCTCTGCTGTGGAGAGAGATTCTCGTTTGCTTGGATTTGACTTAGTCACGTGTATCGAGTTGTAAGTATTAAACGCATTCCTTCTGTATAATTAGAAAAATGTCACTGGATTAGTCTTCGTAAACTTTGTTCCCTAAATGTAATCTGGATTTTTATTTGTAAAGAAAATTGCTTGTCGGTTGGGACTGGCCTGTTACCACCCCGTCTCATCCGGGATGGGCGAAGGGAAGGACGAGGCCGTTTCAGGGTCACTGTTACATGCTCCAAGGGGGGATACATCAAGGTAGAGACAGACCTTGTTTTGCGAAGTCAGTTAGGGAAATCGTGCAAGTGAAGCTCGATTTGACTCGATCTGTCCCCGCTGACCCTTTCAGAATAGAACATTTGGATTCTGAGGACCTGGCCAGGTTTCCCGAAGTCGTGTTTGGGTACCTGTCTCCGGCCATGGTTGTCATCAGCACGCCCAACTCGGACTTCAACCCCCTGTTCCCGGCAGTGACCTTGCGAGATTCAGATCACAAATTTGAGTGGAACAGGAAGCAGTTTCAGACCTGGTGAGTGCAAAGGTGTCTTGGTTTCTCGGGAGCCCACGGGCATTTAAAATCCTGGGGAATAAACCTTGATGGATATGTGACTGACGGGGTTTCCTTCCGCAGAGCACATGAGCCAAGCCAGTGGGAAGTTCGTTCTCTCTCTCACGTCTCAGGCGGGTGTGGGAAAGGTGTGTGCCCACCGGGTGGAGGCGTCAGGAAACAGGACCGTGGGAAGGTGTGGCACTGAGTGGTGCCCTGGCCCAGGGGCATCTCCCAGGGGCGCCACGGGTTCTCGGCACAATTCCACACCCAGATAGGAGTTGGGGTTATAGCCTTTGTGGTGTCCTTGTCCTTTCCTCTGCTCTGTCCCACAACATTCCTTGTCTCCATGGTCCTGTGGTTCATCACCCTAATAGGAGTTGGGGTTATAGCCCTTGTGGTGTCCTTGTCCATTCCTCTGCTCTGTCCCACATTCCTTGTCTCCATGGTCCTGTGGTTCATCACCCTCGCAGTCATTGCCTGAATGCCCCTCAGAGAAGCAAGCAGACCCCACGCGGTGGCAGTGTGATGTATAAGAACCTGCAGCTCAGCGGTCTTTTGGTTCCTTGCATTGTTCGCGTTCTGTTCTACCGGGAATTGCTGTCTATGTAACAGTAGTTCCGAGTTTAGAAAAAAACGATCTCTCTCCTTGTTTTGATTCCAGGGCCTTAGGGGTGGCAGGTTTCTACAATTACTCCGTGGAGTTTACTGGCGTGGGGGAGCCACCGGAAGGAGCTGGGAATGTTGGCTACTGTACCCAGATAGGGGTCTTCCGGAAAATCGGAGCGCCGGCCACGGAATCGTGCGTGGCAGAGCAGTGTGGTCAGCACGTTTATAAGATTGTGAGTGTTCTTTTTTTAATTTATTTTTTATTGATTTCAGAGGGGAAGGGAAGGGAGAGAGAGATAGAAACATCAATGATGAGAGAGATTCACTGATTGGCTGCCTCCTGCACATCCCCCACTGGGGACCAAGCCTGCAACCCAGGCATGTGCCCTGACCGGGAATCGAACCACGACCTCCTGGTTCATAGGTCAATGCTCAATCATTGAGCCACGCCGGCGGTGTAGACTGTGAGTGTTCTTTGTGGGGCAGCTGTCGGGACAAGAACTACATGTACCTCGATGGTGAACAGTTCCCTACCAAGAGTCCCCGCAGCAGAGAGGAGTGGTGGCCTGATTCTGAGGGTGACCCTGGGAGAAGCCTACGTGCCCCACTGCGGTCAGAGCTTTGAGATGGGTGGTCTTTTGAGCTGTTGGGCCAGCGGCCTCCCTTGTGGGTTCTTGGCAGGAAGAGGAAAGCCAGCAGGCATTTCACTGCTGGGCTCAGAAACTGATTTGGAACTGAGCCTCCAAGTGCCTCAGACCCTTTGGTTTTGGAGGCATGGGGAAGAACAAACACATCTCCCTCTTTAATTAGCAACACTTTTCCTTTTTGACCCCATGTGTCAGTATTTACAATTAGTAGGGTTTCACATTTGCACATACTAACTATACAGTTATTCTTTTTTTTTTTTTTCATTCTCGCCCAAGGATATTTTCCCATTGATTTTTTAGGGAGAGGGAAAGACAGAGAGAAACATCGATGCGAGAGAAACACATCGATTGGTTGCCTCCTGCACAAGCCCCGACCAGGGCTCAGGCCAGGGAGGAGCCTGCAACCGAGGTATGTGTCCTTGACTGGAATCGAATCCGGGACCCTTCGGTCCACAGGCTGATGTTCTAACCACTGAGCAAAACCGGCTAGGGCCATAGAGTTCATTCTTCATGTGGTAGGAAGTTACTACTCATGGTCTGGCATAGAGTTAATTCTTCATGTGGTAGGAAGTTACTACTCATGGTCTGGAACATTTCCCTATATCCTAAGTGGTTTTTTCCTCCCGGCTTCAGGTTTATTCCGTTTCATATCCGAGTTTACAGCAAAAGGAAGTCCGCAAACTCGCATTAGCAAATGAGGTGTCTCGGCAAATCCAAAGCATGAGGCAGAGATATGTCTCCAGCCTGAGGATCCTACAGCGCGGCGATGGGGACGGCCACCAGGTCAGCGACACTGGGCTCGTCACCTTCTCTGGACCAGTCTTCACAGAACTCGAGAAACGCAAAATCGAGAAGTCTCCCGAACCGTTCCGCTTTGGGAATAAGCTCTACGTCCCGCTGGAAAGGCTGCTCGCTTACCCCAAGGTGAACCGCCTGTGTGACAGCGTGGACACGATGCGAGCGCTCATCGCTGACACGGTGAGGCTGAGCAGGGACGGGTCCGCCGTGAAGGTCGACCTGCGGGATGCGAGTCCGTGAGCGGCCATCCTGAGAGTCAGGTTCTCAGCCAAGGGAGAGCTCGCCGAGGATGCTCTCCTGTAGCCGTTATTCGAGTAACTTAGTTTTGAGATTACTTGACAACGTTGTTGTGTGTGTGTGTGTTTTTAACAGGCTTGTTTTGTTTGGGAGTGTTTGTAGAGAGTTCCTGATATGCTTGGTTTTTGTTGCTGTTGGCATTAAAGAATGTTAAAGAAAATTGAGTGTTTACAACTTTTTCCCAGGGGGTAAGGGTAGCTTTAAACTCTCTCTAGGATTTGCTACTTCCTTGGGGCTAAATTCTGATCTCTCATACTTAGCCCAAAACAGTGGTTCTCAACCTTCCTAATGCCACGACCCTTGAATACAGTTCCTCATGTTGTGGTGACCCCCAACCATAAAATTATTTTCGTTGCTACTTCATAACTGTAATTTTGCTACTGTTATGAATCATCATGTAAATATCTGATATGCAGGATGTATTTTCATTGTTACAAATTGAACATAATTAAAGCATAGTGATTAATCACAAAAACAATATGTAATTATATATGTGTTTTCCGATGGTCTTAGGCGACCCCTGTGAAAGGGTCGTTTGACCCCCACAGGGGTCGCGACCCACAGGTTGAGAACCGCTGGCCTAAAACATCATACAACACAGGAGTGCAGGTGACGGGAGGAAAGGGGAGCTTCGTGACGTGAACACTGTCCATGGGTTTCGAACGCCCTCTTCGGCAGCTTGCTGGCTGGAACGGGTGGAGATAGTCATGGAGGAGAGAGAAGCACCGCTTCATGTAATGGGGGAAGAGTGGTTTCGATGCTACGGCTACCATGGTTTATCTCGGATATGTGCATGCCTTCGGGGACATCCCCAGATAGGGGACACGTCATATTGCTGAGATCCACCAAGCTGGTAGAATGGCGAAGCCATGAGTGTATACAATGGGAATTTCACCTTGCAAGTCGTCTTCAAAGCTAGTGGCATGCCAGTTATGCACTTACGTTGAAAATGAGCTCAGTGCCCTGCCTAATAGTATACTCTGCCTGCATGGCTACATTCATCTCTCCCCTCTCCACCCCATCTGTCCGCTGGACCGTGGCTCTGATCAGTTCATCGTCTTTCCCAGAAACACTGCATTGCTCCCGACTCCCGCACCTCAGCCTGGACTCAGCTTCGTTGGTTTTGCCGAACAGACGGACTTTCCACTGCTGGGTCTCTGTCCAGCCTTGTCCCTCCATCTCTTCATTTACACTGATCACCCAGACCTTCCAGTAGGATCCTCATGAAAGTGAATTGACAGAATCTTTCATTAATCCCATACAAAAGGGAGACACTTTTACCCTATTTAAGCAAAGTATGAAAAATGACTTCAAAGTATTTCAAATTACTTAAAATTAGTGCTGAAGAGATTTTCCTTTGGCCCAGCTGGTGCTGGCTCAGTGGTTGAGCGTCAACCCATGAACCAGGAGGTCACAGTTTGATTCCTGGTCAGGGTTGCAGGCTTGATCCTCAGCGGGGGTGTGGGGGAGGCAGCAGATCAGTGATTCTCATCATTGATGTTTTTGTCTCTCTCTCCCTTCCTCTCTCTTTCTCTGAGGTTGATGGAAATGTATTTAAAAAAAAAAAAAAAACTTCCTTTGATCACAACATGGAATATGGGGAAAGAAGGGCAGGCACAGGATCACGTGGGAGAGGTATGCTTAAACTGAATCACTGAAGCTCAATACCAGAAGGTGGCACACTTTCTCACTTAAAGTAAATGCATTCTTTTGCTTTGAGGACTCCTGATACAAGATGCAAAACAACAACAAAACAAAAACAAAACAAAAAACACCTCAAAACTTAGTCTGCCAATTTCCTATGGAGGCTTGAAGCTTTTGCCACACAGGAAAGCGCTGCTGAAATGATTTAAAGATCTAGTAGTGAAGTCACTTTCTTCAGAGAAATGGTTCAGGAGACAGCTCGACCTGCCTGAGTTGTAACTGCATAGGAATGGGGTCTGAGCTAACTCAAACAGGAAGGTGTGACATTTCCTTAGTGCAGGGGTCATCTGGAATAGAGATCACCAACTCAGGGAATGTCTAAATTAAGGCCGTTTCTCTTTTGCATCTTGTGTAATGTGGGATGGACTGACTCCACCAGAGATTTCCTATCATGCACATGGAAAGATTTCATTTCCATATACTAGTATATGCTGCTGTAAATTAAGGGGAAAGGGGAGAGGATGGGGGAGGAAGAGAGAGAAAAGCACTAAACGCTGAGTCATAATAAGAAAGCTGGGCCTGGGAGCTCATCAATGTTTCTCTCTCTCTCCCTCTCCCTTCCTTTGTCTCTAAAATAAATACAAATTTTAAAAAGAAAAAGAAAGACAGTAGGTTCTGAAGGGTGTTTGGATTCAGACGCAGGTCTCTTGTTGCAGGCTCATGGCCGGGGCTGCAGGAGCTGCCTCGGGGTGCGAAGTGTCTTTTGAGGGGAAACCCCCAGGGAAAAGTTATACACTGGTCCTTTCACGTCTGTTTTCTGACCTTGGCAAGTGACAGAATCTTTAACTGAAATGTTAAACTTTAAGATATGATTTTTATTGAACTTGTATAGGATTCACCTTTACATTATTACAAATACTTTACAATAAAAAATTAGTTTTTGTAAAAAAAAAGGGGGGGGACCATTTCCTGGATTTATAGTTGTGCAGTTAAAACAAAGAAATGTATAAAAATGAAGGTCATTCTCCAAGTATTAGAACACAATACTAATGGAATCACTTCAATTAACATTTTTGCATAAACATTGACATGACTACTTACACTGTATCAGCTTCCACAAGAACAAACAAATGCACAAAAACGAAGGTAAATCCCCAACATACGGTGTATTTTTTTTAAAAAAATCAAACTGAATGTACCCAAAATGTCTTCCTGTGATGGGATTTGGTCAATGACTATCATCAAGAGATGGACATACACATTTGTAGATGCAGAGCATGTAGCCTGCGTAAATTATAAAACCTGCCAGCCGTGCTGTGCGGAGGAGGAGCTAGAAACCACCTACACAGCCGTTTAAAATACAGTGTAGACAGGGTAGGGCAAAAGTAGGCTTACAATTGTGAGTACTCTAAACAGTTTCTTCTTGTATTATTATTTTTTTACATTTTAAAACCTTTTATTGAATGGGAGAGTGGGAGGAATTAGAATACCTATTATTTGTTAATTATTGTATTTTCCATATGAACAACTGTAAACCTACTTTTGCCCCACCCTGCATATTATCTTATGAAAAGTCATAAGAATAATAAGGCCTTATTTCCATAGCAGTCTTAAAACAGGGTTCATATAGGCATATTTCATCCTTTATGTTTTTGGATTTCATATTCTTCAACATCTCAACTCTTACAATTATGCACAGTACCTAAGCCAACATATAAAGAGTGACATGACGCAGTTCTAGCTACAGTACCTGATTCTAGTCACACGACGTACCATCTAGGAGAACTGCCCAAGTACAGTTTCTGAACCGCCCCCATTAAAGACCTGCCAAAATAAAATACAACCCCATCATGTGAGCCCAGTCTCTTGGGAGCGTTATTATATGTCCAGGAAGCCTAACGCTTCAGAGTAGTTCTTCAGGGAAGCGTTGAACAATACTGTCAGCCTGAGCTTGCAAAGTGGTCGTTAGCGTGGAATTCTTAAAGTCTAAAATTATGTCTGGATATTTTCCAGGTATTGAATCTCATTGCTAAATATGTTTTGACTGGAGGCTAGTAGATACTTAAAAGAATCTTGGTCAAGACTTTGTCAGATTATAAAAACTAATCATGTTGGGTGCTTGTATGTAGAGCCTTCAACGCCACCGCACAGGGTGAGCGGATGGCTCAGGGCCTTCTCTGTCCTTGGCTGCCCTTCACATCCTCTCTGGTCTCCTTCACCAGCACAAGTCACAGGAAGTGGGCTCCTGACCTGCTTCTTCTGTAATTCCCCCAACCAAGGTATTTAAGACTCTTATCAGAAATATGTCACTTTAAAATACCATTCATTTTTTTCCTCTAGCACTGGGTTAGGAAATGTTACAGTTGTACAAATTCTCCAAGACTAGGGGACTTGAAATTTGAGTCTAATATTTAGAAGTCAATGTATTAAGATCTACTTTTTCAAATTCGATTTTCTAAACTCAAAACAAAACCAAAAGTAGACTTAATATGAATAAGCAGATTTACAGGCTCGAAGGAAGAAGAACTTGGAAGTAGGGCAGACACGTAGGCAAACTCTAACATATTTTTCGGGACTGTAATGAAATGCGGTTGTTGCAAAGTGTGCTGATGGGGCACAAAACAGAATAAAATGGACGCAGACTTCACTGACTACGAAGGAAATTGCCATCTCTCTTCTTCCTGTTTCCGTGTATTAAGATGTTTGTTATGTTGACTCATATAGAAATCAAGATGTTATCTGGTGGCTGCTAAATTTATACAGGCATGATTTTTATGGTCTTCAAAATTCACCTTTTGTTTTTAGAAAAGAATTCTGTGTCATTTTCAAATACCGAGAGCCCGTCTCGCATAAAGGTCTTGGACAAGGGCAGCCAAGGATGAGTAACAGGGCTGGTGTCCGAATTACAGCACCTTCGACATAGCTGGAGGATGTCCTCACGGAACCTGGCCTACGGTCTAGTTGTTAGCATTTCACAACTGCAAAGCCATTTGTAGAAGCGCCAACCAAAAATATAGCTTAGGAATAATATTTTGAAAATAGAAAAATAGGTTTTTAAAATGTCATAATAAATATCTCTCTAAACAATATCTTCATATCTCTATTGCAAACTTTCTTTGATTCTGTTCTGTAATATACAACAAGGGGATCATTCATTTGTTTAGTCATAGACAAGTCTTTACCACTTAAAGTAACATTTTCCTTGGCTGGACTTAAATCTTCAGGTCATTTTTTTTTCTTCAAAACAAATCTTAGAAAGTTTAATGACTCAGAAAAAACCCTATCTGGGTGTCACTGCTTTAAAAATCTCAGAATCTATTTGTAAAAGTAGTTTTTGATTCGTTTGGAATACCCAATCCTTGAAATATTAAAACCACACAAAAGCCCTAACATGAACTATTTAAAGTTTCTCCAACCTCTCAATTTGAATATTAAAATAATATTTTCTTAAAAATACCCCCCCCCCATTTTGCCAACATGAAAATACATAGACCAAAGGAATTCTAATATATGTTA